ACACCCTCCACCACACACACCCTCCACCACACACACACCCTCCACCACACACACACACACCCCCACCACCACACACAGTCCCTCCACCCACACACACACCCTCCACCACACACACACACACCCTCCACCACACACACAGTCCCTCCACCACACACACACACCCTCCACCACACACACAGTCCCTCCACCACACACACACACCCCCTCCACACACACACACAGTCCCTCCACCACACACACACCCTCCACCACACATACACACACACCCTCCACCACACACACCCTCCACCACACACACACACACACACACCCTCTACAGGTAAACTTTCCTTCACTTTGGAAGACCAAAGTCTTCCTTATCACCATTCACTGTATCAAACATCAAGCAATACACAGTTTACTTTAGTCATAGGTTTGTACTTTTCCGAAACTGAAGCATATAGGCCTACACTTGACGGCTGCAAAGGTACACATTCCTTACCTGCTGACATCCTGACAACCCTTAAGGGCTAACTTAACTCTAGCTTAACTCTTAACTCTAGATAACTCTAGCTACAGTACTGTGAAGAATACAGTGGACATATTTACCACAGTCTGCTGACAACGGATAGTAGTCGTCTGCTCCTGTACTCACCTGGGAATAAAAACAAACAATTAAGTACTGTACAATTCGGCCCCTTTGATGAAAGTCAAAGTGAAATTATTCTGCATAACAACATTTACTCCTATAGGTCTCACCAAATTGAATGGATCAACGATTATTTTGACTTGGTTATATATATATATATATTATATATATATATATATATATATATATATATATATATATATATATATATATATATATGTCGTACCTAGTAGTCAGAACGCACTTCTCAGCCTACAATGCAAGGCCCGATTTGCCTAATAAGCCAAGTTTTCATGAATTAATGTTTTTTCGACTACCTAACCTACCTAACCTAACCTAACTTTTTTCGGCTACCTAACCTAACCTAACCTATAAAGATAGGTTAGATTAGGTAGGGTTGGTTAGGTTCGGTCATATATCTACGTTAATTTTAACTCCAATAAAATAAAATTGACCTCATACATAATGAAATGGGTAGCTTTATCATTTCATAAGAAAAAAATTAGATGAAATATATTAATTCAAGAAAACTTGACTTATTAGGCAAATCGGGCCTTGCATAATAGGCTGAGAAGTGCGTTCTGGCTACTAGGTACGACATATATATGTCGACATATATATGTCGGTAAAATCTCTAAGAAGAGATTCGGCCTGCTCCATCATCACGTATTCTACCCATATCACGTCTATATATTCAAGTACTGCAACCACAAGAAGAAGAACAACAACAGACGTCTAGACAGAACCTTCAGTCCCCCCAAACACCACTGCCCGTCACCCCACCTTGCACCTGGGGTCGCTGGGAGCTCACGCCATCTCAAACAAGCAGTTAAAAGCGAGCCGGTTCATAGTTAAAGAAGCTAGCAGCGCCATCTGCATGGCCGTCGTCGTCGTATACCACTACGCGAGGGCACTACGCGAGTCAACTACCACCACAAAGGAAGACTGACAATGAGAAAGCAGGAGACGAAGAGCATAGAGAATAGCATAAAGCTCCACTGTAAAGATGCTAGTCTCCGGAGGTAAGCGACACATATAAGTGCGATCAGGAAAAACAACAGAGTAGCCAACACAGTCCGCAGACTTAGACCCATCGGTGAAGACAGAAACGGAGCGGGAGTGCGAAGAAAAGTGCTCAAGGAAAAGACGTTTTAGAACCGTAGAAGGGGTAAAAGCTTTAGTGATGTGGGTCAAGGATGTACAAAACTGCGGAAGGGGGACTCTCCACGGGGGCAAAGAAGGAGCAACACGAGGAGAAACATTAGAAACACGAACGGAAAGAGAATCCTGTAAGCGAGATAAGCGGACAGAAAGAGGGAGGTGGTGAAGAGGAACAGGAACCGCAGGAGGGATAAAAGTTAAAGCATGACAGAGGCGAGAGGAAGGATGTTGTAAGGACCGCGCAAGATAGCGAAGACAGTAGTGATCACGGCGGTCCTGGAGAGACAGGAAGCCAGTGTTAACATACAAGCTAAGGACGGGAGTCGAACGAAAGGTACCAGAACTGAGGCGCAACCCAGTATGGTGCAAAGCATCAAGACGGCGAAGAGTAGAAGGAGAAGCAGATGAGTAAGCAGGGCAACCATAATCGAGCTTAGACAGGACGAGAGAGGAATGTAAAGCAAGGAGAGTGCACCTATCCGCTCCCCAAGAAGTATGGGACAATACCCTAAGGAGGGCAAGGGCCTTAGAGCACTCAACACGGAGGTAAGAGATATGGGGAGACCAAGACAAACGAGTGTCAAGGAATAACCCCAAAAGCTTCGCGGAATCTTTGTACTCAAGGGGATGACCATAAAGTGACAAAGAGGGACGAAGAACGACCCGTTTCCGCGTAAAAGTCATGGCACAAGTCTTAGAAGTAGAGAACTTGAAGCCATGATCGGTGGCCCAAGACGACACGGCATCAATCGCAAGTTGAAGCCGGCGCTGAAGGAGAGGCGAATCATCACCCTGACAGCAAAGGGTAAGATCATCGACATAGAGCGCGGAGAAGACACCTGAAGGAAGAGAGGAAAGAAGACCATTGAGGGCAACCAGAAAAAGAGTAGTGCTCAGAACACTACCCTGGGGCACACCTTCGTTTTGCTGAAAAGAGGCAGAGAGAGTGGCACCAAGGCGCACCCGAAAGGAACGACGAGAGAGGAAGCTGCAAAGAAAGAGTGGGAGATGACCACGAAGGCCAAAAGAATGAAGTTGAAATAGAATATGTTATCGCCAAGTGGTGTCGTAAGCCTTTTCCAGGTCAAAAAGGACGGCAACAACAGAGGTCTTTGCAGCAAAAGCAGTACGAATATAGACCTCCAAGTTCACCAGGACATCTGTCGTGCTGCGGCACTTGCGGAAACCAAATTGAGAAGAGGAGAGGAGATGATGGTGTTCCAGAAACCACATCAGACGAACGTTAACCATACGTTCAAAGAGTTTGCAGACACAACTTGTGAGGGCAATAGGGCGAAAGTCCTTAGGGGAAGTACCCAGAGACCCCGGTTTGCGAACAGGGAGGACAACGGCATCGAGCCAGTCTGCAGGGACTGACGACGACTCCCAGATCCGATTATACAGACTCAGTAAATACTGAGACGTGCTCGGAGGGAGATGGCGAAGCATCTCATAATGAATACCATCGGAGCCCGCCGCCGTAGAACCGCAGAGGGCCAGGGCAGAATGAAGTTCAGAGAGAGAGAAGGGATCATTATAGGGAAGTCGAAGACGAGTGCAGAAATCTAAAGGACGAAACTCAAGAATAGGTTTACGAAGAAGGAAAGATTGGGGAAGATGAAGACCAGAGCTAACAGAAGAAAAGTGGGAACCCAGTTCGGAAGCGACCTGCAACGGGTCCGCCAGAAGAGTACAATGGAGGTGAAGGGCCGGTGAAACATCGGGAACCAACTTGCCCGCTATCTTGCGGATACGCTTCCAGATCTGTGGCTGAGGTGTTTCGGACGTAATTGTTGAGACATAAGATGCCCAACATTCACGCTTAGCCATATGGATGGCCCTACGGGCCACCGCACTCGCTTTCCGAAAGAAAAGAAAAGAATCGGCCGTCTGCCAACGGTGGTGTCTCTTCCAGGCTGTACGCTTACAGTGGACAGCCCGAGCACAATCTGCATTCCACCAGGGAACGCACTTCTGCAGACCCCGAGAGGAAGAGCGAGGAATAGAGCGGAGGGCAGTGTCGAAGACAGTATCATGAAAATGGAGGAGAGCACGAGGGAGAGGTCAGAGAGAGCAGCACTGAGGGTAAATAGGTTCCAGTCCGCCTTAGTAAACTGCCACCTAGGGAAGGAGAGAAAAGGGCGAAAAGAGAAAAAGGAAACAAGGATGGGGAAATGGTCACTGCCATGGAGGTCATCAAGAACCTGCCACGTGAAATCTAAGTAAAGAGAAGAAGAACAGAGAGAAAGATCAAGACAGGAAAGGGTGTGAGTCCGAGAGTCCAAGTGAGTGGGCTCACCAGAATTCAGAAGAGACAGGGAAGAAGAGAGGATAAACGGCTCAAGAAGGCGACCTCGGGTATTCGTCAGAACATCACCCCAAAGAAAATGACGACAAAATTGAAATCACCCAGCAGGAGCACAGGCTCCGGCAAGGAGTCCAGGAGGTGTTTCAAATCAGGAAGAGAAAGCGGGACACTCGGGGGGAGATAAATGGAACAAACTGTGTACCATTTCCCCACAAAGATACGAGCAGCAGAACAATGGAGAGGCGAAGGAAAAAGTAAAGGAACAAAAGGAACATCAGCGCGAATCAAGAGAGCAGAAGAATTAGGAGCCCCAGCAACGGCTGGGGGGGGGGGGGAAGAGAGAAAGGAATAGCCACGAAAACGACCAGGACGAGCACCAAGCATTGGCTCCTGGAGACAGACACAAAGGGGCGAAAACCGCGAAATTAGAAGTTGGAGTTCGAGGAAATTGGCGTAATAACCCCGGTGTATGGTAACAGAGTTATTCAGTTTGGCTCACAGTATTCCCGCACCATATTTTATTTGCACATTAACGTAACGTAAATTTGAGTGTTCATCTTGTTTGTTTTGCACACTTTGTATTAGAGTCAAGCCTGGATATGATTTTGTTTTGTAATTTGTTTAAAGTAAAGTATTTTAAAGTGTTTTTTCCCTGTGTTTTATCCTCACCGTGAAGACAACTTGCAGTTTAACTTTTTTTCCTTATGCTTTTCTTTTGTGACTGGCGGAAACTGGTGACTGTTGTATGTAACTTTATGTGTGTTTTATGGTGGAAGTGCTAAGCCGGTGGCAATAGTCTCCATGCACACACACACACCTATAACATCAGGTTAAATGCAATATTATTTGCCTGAATTTACCTGATCTTTTTATAATCTTACAGGACTATTGTTTTTGTTTCAGAGTGATGGTGGTGGGCGGGAGATGGGTGGTGGTGTGGACGTGGCTGGTGGTGGCCTCAGTGGACCCAGTCACGCCACAGGGGACGGACGTGTCGCCTCTCGCTCTCCCTGGCGGCCAGCCATCGCCCCCTTGTCTCCCTTACCGGCTACCAACACACCCATTAATACGGTGGGCACAATGTCACTCTCCCATATTTTATTGAATACACTATTTATATACATATTCTAATACACTAATTAAATAATAATATTCCAAATGCCTTTACAGTTTACACGCATTACTTACCAACTTAGCTTTTAAATCTCCAAAACTTTAGGACCACCCTGTATATTGTACATTAGGGTCCTAATCATAAAGTTTCCGGTTCGATTCCCGAGGCAGGACAAACTTTTTGGGGGGGGGAAAAGAGAGGGGGTAAGTTTCATTTAACCTGATAATTCTGTTCGCCTGATAATTTCCATATAAGGAATGGGAAGAGCAGACATGTAATGAAAAAGAATATATGAAGAATATCACTCGCCCATGAATTTCAGTTCACCTTTCACAGTTCACCTTGCCCCTAGGGGGTGGGGAGGTTATCATCACACCCATCCCATCTCCAGAAACTCACATCAACTGGATATCACCTGCTGCATATGCAAGGATGGCCAACATAGGAGTCGCCTTCAGAAATCTGAACAGAATGTTTAAAAAACATGTTTAACACATGTATCAAAATGATTACTGTAAAATATGACACCATTATAGAGTCAATATCTCATCAAACAGTCTCAGTGGTGTAGTGGTAAGACACTCGCCTGGCGTTCCGCGAGCGCTATGTCATGGGTTCGTATCCTGGCCGGGGAGGATTTACTGGGCGCAATTCCTTAACTGTAGCCTCTGTTTAACGCAACAGTAAAATGTGTACTTGGATGAAAAAACGATTCTTCGCGGCAGGGGATCGTATTCCAGGGACCATAGGATTAAGGACTTGCCCGAAACGCTACGCGTACTAGTGGCTGTACAAGAATGTAACAACTCTTGTATATATCTCAAAAAAAAAACACAACATGAAGATGGAAACTAAAGGAATTATAGTTCACATAACTAAAAAAAAGAAAAGAAACAGTTGATATGATCTCTACTCTGAAAATATCTTGAATATTTTACAGGAAAGACATGGTAGACTATACACCATTGATTGTGCATGAGCAAGAGATGCAGGTTGACACTAAATACTGTACCCAATACCCGAATGAGCCACAAGGATATTAGCAATGATTTAGTCGTTGCCAGAGTAGTAAATGAAATAAATTTCGAAGTAGTGGAGGCAGTCTCCACCTGTGAGTTGAAGGTTGATAAGAGGGGGTTGGGGTGGGGGTGGGGTGGGACTTGACAACCAAAGCTCAATCTCCACAAGCAAAGCTAGGGAAGCATGGCTAAATAAGTACATTTTCTCTATCTCCCTCCACTGACAGTCTCCAATCACACAGGTGTGAGTTGAGTAAGAGGCAGCCGTTCTACCACTGGGGAGGCAAGCGGTCACCCCATAAGTTTGGGCTGGGTCTTCCCATCAACTTGCGAGAAGTGTACCTAGCCCTCTTCCAAAATGCCAGGTGAGTAATGCATCAACCTGGTTATACCTGTATGCCGAGTAAATATACAACAAATCTCATGCAAGCATGAATGAATTGGGAATGTATATACATAAAAAATATCACCAAACAAAACTCTCACTTGGATATTTACTGTGCATTCTTTCATTTTCACTCTCAAAACTCATCTGCGTATTGCAGTCTCCTCCATAAAGCTTGGAAGTACCTGCTCAATCTCATTATGCAGAATGAAGCAAGATTGATTGATAAGTAACGTACAATACTATATTGAATTTATACAATGCTTAACCAAAATATTTGTGAGAATGAACAGGATTAAATTTTAATGTGTACAGCCCAGTCAAAATCATCTTATGTTAACTAGGAGTTTAACACCCTTGAAGGCTCTCTCATACCCATATAATTCTCATCGTGTGATATGTTATAACATTACAGTATTGCAAGAACAGCAGAATGAACATTTAAAACACTGGAAATTCATGAATATACAGACTTCCTGATGCTTAATTTGCAATAATGATATCCACTTACAGTATTTTCAAGGGCATATTTAACCTGCCCATTTCTTTCAGGTCTCAACCCCTGAGGCTTCAAGCTACTGAGGGAGAGCTGAAACGAGCAACATTCAACCCTTGGGGAGGCAAGCAGTCAGATCCAATCCATACTGCAAGCTTGACCTCCGATGCCTTTAACGATTCTCCCAGCAAGGGAAACACCTTTACGCCCTGGGGAGGGAAGCGTTCTGCTGAATACTACTTAGAAGATGAGAGCCCACTTGCTGTCAAAGAGGACATTATTCCGTATGTTACTACATTCAGTGATGAAGGACAAACAGAAGAGATCAAGGAAGGATCCACTGCTACATGGGGAGGAAATCGTGTACCATCTGTGTCTGATGGAAAAAA